GGGTGTGAAATAATCTGTGAAATATTTTTAACAAGAGAAATTCTTCTGTGGCACTGACACGGTTTTCAAATCTGTATCAAGTTGGCTGATGTATTTAAAAAGAACAAGAGAATATTGTTTTTATAAATATATTTTCATATATCAATGTTTCAGATTTTCCTTTGAAACTGTTTTTAAATAGAAGTCTTGAAACATGCAAAAACTTTGAAAATGACAATGAAAATGCAAACTATTTTCCTGACATTATTTCACCCCAAACCATACGTAATTTTAACATACAATCCCAGTTAAGAAACAGAAGTTTTTGAAATACACAACAAGAAAGAACAAAAATCACAATCTATCAGAAAAGGCATAAAGTATACTGGCCCAGCATGCATAACAGCGTGTGTGTGTGTGTATGCATATACACGCCTACATCCAACCAATACCAGAACAAGCTGAGAAACTAATAAAACTCAAATATCACAAACAACATACCAAAAGTAAAGGAACTTTAACTCAAGAAAGCAGCTATCATACCATATATGTCTGACCTTTTTTTACCAACCTTTTTTTCAGGCTTGTCTGAACAATCTAGGCAATGATCTTTATTCAAACCCACAAGTGGGTCCAGAATAATTATTCAGACATCCCATCCCTACTTAGTGAAGGCAGAGAAAGCAGTGCCTGCAATCATCCTAATTGCTGCTCACAACAGCCACTTTAACCCACACTCAATCACAACTCTATTATCCCTTTTGATCACCCAGGTAGGTGCAGATCCCTATTGTGACCGGGAGTAAAAGCAGAGAGAGAATTCAAGAAACATGGAGGGTTAGTATTGCTGTACTCCAATGTGTTCAATAACTCTTCATTTTAAAGGATGAGCAGAGACAAGACAAGAGCTTGTCATTAGGAAAATGCAAGTGCTTATTACTAGAACAAAATGATTGCTCCTATGGATACATTGTTATCCACACACCACAGTATGATTCTGCCATTGATAAGCTATTCAAATTCACAGTAGTAATTCCTATTATTTGATGTCCTGAAATGCAAATGTATCCCTTTGCAATATATGTCTATGAGTAAAATTCAGAAAGGATAACAATAGTACACAAATAATTCCGAAATACCAGAAGAAAATCGCTGCCTTTCAGAAGAATTATAAATGTATTTGCAATTTACTATATGTCTGAATTACTTTGTGAACAGAAAAACTTAAGGTTCTCGGAGACATAGTGGGTCTTTATTAGCGTAGCAAACATTTTGCTTAACTTTCCATTGCATCACCTCACTGTGATACAGCCTCTGTGAAAAACAGCCACTTGTATAAAAGGCAGTATCTGCTGAAAAGATATTTCTCCCAGCTTGCAGTAAAAAGTTTTATCACTGACACCAATAGGCCCTTGATTTCACTTGATGTCCTTAAGGCTTATTAGAGACTTGGAATAATTGAAGAAAAAACAAACAAAAAAACCCAACCAAAACAAAACCATACACACACACCCCACACACACCCCAAATTTAGGAACCACAAAAGCTATAGTCCTTATACTGTTTCAAATAGTTAGGGCTAAATCATAAGTTCCTGTACATTTGTTTAGGCCCTGAGGGCTAGCTTCAAAAAAACAGATTATGCAGAACTCACACAGAATTTAGGCACTCAAGTCCTTGGCCATGATCCTGTTAAAGCTAAACACTTACCAGGCAGGCCACATTCACCGTCAGCACGAGGCCCAGGGGCTTTAGAGATACACTGAATGTACAGCTTCCTGGCAAACCAGCTGCTACAGAAGGATTTGTGAAGGTGGCACTTCCTGTGTGTGGTGTCTCTGAAGCAATGCAGCTCCCACCAGCAATACTCAGATAGAAAGAAGCCTTAAGATAAGTAATCAAACCAATATAGCAAGAAATGACAGACATATCCAGAAGAAAATCTTCCAAGCAGCTGACTACTACAACTCAGAGTGGTTGAAAAGAACTGAAATGACAGTGGGTAGGCTGTTTTTTGAACCATGCACCATCAGGACAACGACAGGAGCAAAAGCATGCCCTTTGTGGATAGCGGGCAAGGAAAACTTTCCAGTCTCATGTATGAGCCTGGAAAACTTCCCAGTCTCATGCTTCTGAGCCTCTCTCTGGGCACAGGGCACAAATACACCATGAGAACACACACACAGACTCCCGTGAAGTGTTACATAGACAGTGTGATTGCTTGGGGAGTACAACAGTGTTCCCAAGGAGAGGGAGGGAATCACCACTTAGTCCTTAAATTGTACTATGATAAAAAATGGCTGGCATAATTTTTATAGCTCATTCAATTCACAGTCCTACCTTATTGAAATTATTAATAGAAGAGCCCAGAAGACAGTGATAAATCAGCACTGTCTCCTGAATCTGTCATCTCTTCTTCAGTGAGTTAGAGTTGTGAAATAAAGTAACTGACACCTGAGAATCTTCTCGTTGAAAAACTTATTTAATCCAGTCTCAGTAATAGCCATAAACTATCCTCGGTGAGAGTTTTTCCATTGAGATCAACATTAATTGTATAAGCAGATCAAGAACACAAAAAGAAACTAAAAACTTTAAATCCACTCCTGTCATTTAACCCTAGTGTAACACTTCACATCTTTAAATCTTTTCTATTTTTTCCTTTCTGCTTCCCTCCTCGTCTTTGCCACCTTGTGCAGACACTGTGACACTTTCCGTTTTTGCCATATTTAAATAGCTGCTTCCTGACCTTCTCAAGTCAGCGGAGTGGGTTATTGTGCTGGTTTGGGCTGGGGGAGAGTTAATTTTCTTCCGAATAGCTAATGTGGGGCAATGTTTTGGAGTTGTGCTGGAAACAGTGTTGATAACACAGGGATGTTTTCATCATTGCTGAGCCATGCTTACACAGAGTCAAGGCCTTTTCTGCTCCTCACACCAACCAGCAGCGAGTAGGCTGGGGGTGCACAAGAAGTCGTGATGAGACACAGCCAGGACAGCTGACCCCAACTGGCCAAAGGGCTATTCCGCACCATAAGACATCGTGCTCAGCATATAAAGCTGGGGGAAGAAGGAAAGGGAGGGACATTCGGAGAGATGGTGTTTGTCTTCCCAAGCAACCATTACGTCTGCCGAAGCCCTGCTCTGCCGGAGATGGCTGAACACCTGCCTGCTGATGGGAAGCAGTGAATGAATTCCTTGTTTCACTTTGCTTGCGTGGCTTTTGCTTTACCTATTAAACCGCGTTTATCTCAACCCATGAATTTTCTCACTTTTACTCTTGTGATTCTCTCCCCCGTCCTACTGGGGTGGAATGAGCAAGTGGCTGTGTGGTGCTTAGTTGCCAGCTGGGGTTAAACCATGACAGTTATGTATTCTTCTTTTCCCCTTAGTCTGCATTACATAACCCTAAACCCATGATTATTTCTGAAACAGAAAAGATAATCACAATTTTGTTTCAAGAGTCCAAGAATTTAAGACCATTTGACTTACAATCATGTAGTTTTACTCCTGCAAGACAAAGAATTCTCCTAAAGGGTTCTTGTGAGAAACCCACAGTGATCTTTTAGACTAATATGGGTTGCTATATACCACATCTGCATCCTCCCACACACTCTGGCTACTACAGGCTGATGCTGTCCCTTACTAAGCTTTCAGCCACTTAATAGCAAACCTGATCCACCCTAGAATAGATACCGTAACAGACAACTGCAACAAGAAGGTATCAAAGACTAACATTCCAAGCTAACCAGAGCTAAAGAAATCTCACATAGGTAACCCATGTGTAAAGCACCACCAGAGAGGTTCAAGAATTATGTTGCATTCAACAGAAACTGCAGGTAAATTTTGAGCAAAAATATGAAAGCATCTTTATCTAGTATGGGGACTGAAAGAGCAACTTGAATGCACAGAAAGTGAAATAATTCAGCTGTAAATCCCACCTGTCCTTCACCCCCCGGTGAATAAAAAGAAAATATCATCAAGTAAAATATCTGTGAAATGAAAAAAGATATGATATGCATAGATTATCTTAGTCCCTAGACTTCATTATCCCAATGACAATAGGATAAAACAAAGAAAACATTCTTATTAGAACAGCTTTGGACTGGGTTAACTACTATGACTTACAGAATAGAAAGGAATTTCAGCTTCCAAAAAAAGAAACAAATAGCTGTATCATACAATTATCCTCTCAATGTGCTTGGTGAATCATCTTGAAGTATCTTTAGATAAGAACAGTATGCCTACATAAAATGTTTCCAGAGGAAAAGCATGATATTAACACTGTGTACCCATATTACCAGTATCCGAGTCTCCACTGTTTTGTCATTTAACTGCCAGATGTAAGAAGTGCCAAATCTGTTCTTTAAATCTAATAGTTATTTTTAAAACACAATGAAACTATATTCCTCTTCAAAAATTCACAGATTAATTGGCTTATTAAGCACGCCAGACAACTAGATTTCTGGATTTACCAAACAGTCCTAGCTTTCTAATTTAATTTTCTAATTTAATCTAATTTTAAGTCATTTCTACACTTGTAACTTGGTGCTCTTACACAGATCAAATGCAGTAGTGTGAATACTCTACTTTAAAATTATACTAACAGATTATTTACGTATTAAAAATTTATTATTTAAATTGTTGCATTTTCTGGTCCTCAATTTTTAAGAGGGAACTGGGAAATGAAATTGTAAAGAAACTCTCGTCACTAGCATATGAAGGATTATGTCTGTTCTGTACTAGTGACAGTTCACAATAAGCATAAAATAACCTCAATGTGAGTACATTGTATACACATTTTCCACAGACTGTATGATATAATACAATACTTACTATTTCTGGAGATCCATATTTAGCTTTTGTTTAGATTTACGTAGAAAAATGTTCCTTTCAATCTTTTAAAGAGCATGTTGAGAAATATAGGTTAAATTCCAATTTACACTGATTATAGGTTAAATTCTATTATACGCTAAAATAGACTTTGAGACAGACATTAAAAAAAGGAAAAAAGTCTCGTTACTTACATTGTTTATGTATTCAGAAAGCAGGTCTTGGAGAGCTTGGCGGATAGCATTGCATTCGGCAATTATACGTTCTCGATGAAAATCGCGTGTGCAAGAAGAATCGGCTAGCAAAGCTGCTCCACTGATAATAGCTTCCAGACGTTTCTCTAGTGATGGCCTTATTTTCTCTTCATTCACCACAAGAGGATCCAGGATAATTAAATTCTGGAAAACATGAGGAGCACAGGTGAGAAAAGTCAGCTCAATTAAGTTGCTGCTTTATTTTTTACTGGCTTGAATTACAGTGACATTATGCTTTCTAGACACAACTAGTCCTTTCCCCTTGCAGCATCCAAAATACTTTTGGCCATGGCAGATTCTGTTTTCCCTACCGGGGTTATGCATACAGGTCAGTTGCAGACAAAGCCAAGTTCTCTCTGCCATTCAGATCTCACTAGTTCTAAGCCAACATCCATGTTATCAAATCCTACTGGCCTGGACCCAGTGCTAAGACGGCAACAGAGCTTTCCAGCCAGAGCTGGTTCACACCTAAACAGCTCACAGAACAAGTAGGACAAGATCACATCTACCTGCAGGCCATGTTGCCATCTTCTGACTACAACTGCCTTGTCTCCGAGTCCTTCCTCTGTTTCCTAATTTTGCTGCATGAGATTCAAGATTTTCATCCTCTCCTACACCTGTATCTGGCATTTCTTCTTCTACAAGGCATTTCACTGCTGGAAACAGAAACACCAGTCTACCCTCATAACCATGCATGCATTCTTACTGCTGCAGCATCGATTTGGTCTACCAATCTTCACAACACCCTACTTGACAACGGAAAGCTATCAACCCCATTTTAAAAGCAAAGAACTCAGGCCCAGACTGCCAGAAGGTACGTCTTAAAACAAGCAACTACATGCCATCTTCCCAAGTTCTCAGCCTGCACTGTTTATCCTCTTCGAGTTTTGTCACTGCGGTTGTAAAAAAAGTCTTTCTTATTTCAAACTCTTTCCTATGTCTGTCTACACTTATTGAGGGTCTTCTGTCTTCCTTATCCTCCCATACAGTGGGCCTGTCTTGTATATTTACCTTGTAAATTCTTAAAAAGATTATATGTATCTTATACTAAGCTTGCAATGTCTATGTACAACTATCACACTCTGTACGAGTTTACTACTCAGTAACACTCTATGTTTTATTTAAGTATCTCAGACCAGAGTCTCAGCTTTGTTTGAAAGGGGGGTTCAACACCTGCAAAATTTAGACTTCTGGAGATGAGGAAGACCTCTGGATTTAACACAAAAACAGCGGTGCTAGCTCATGGCTGAGAATGTTAAATCAGACCACGTGAGCAACCTAGTTCTGCTGATTTTTAGTCTAATACAATCCCACACTGGGGCAGAAAGTCATTGCTGCTACCTTTAACAGACTGAATACGGGCAAAGATCAAAATAGCAGCTTTTGTTCAAGAACTGTTTTTACAAAGGACATAGACATAAGCATGGTTTTGCTTTTCACTCCCTAAGGTAAACAAAAGGAGACAATTGTTTTGGCATGATAAAATTAATTACATTTGTGTGTCAAGCAAACACGCTAAAGGAAAAGAAAAGGACAGATGATATTTTTGTGAAATGTGAAGGTAAGTATATTCAAGCTTCAGCATTTAAAGAAATTCAAACTAGTAGTTTTTAATCTAACTGAACATCTGAAACAATGTTAGTATGGTCCAGATCACCAAGTCTGTATTCCACATAAACCCATTCACCTGTTACATCCATATTTGGTTCCAAGCTTTCAGAAGAAATATTAAACAACAAATTATGCCATATACCCTTAAGTAGAATTTAGGCCACGTAATTCAGAACTTATCTGTGCTTATCCAGTATGTACTGGACTACTTTTAAGCTGGAGAATTTTAATTATTTTTTCAATTTAGATTTAATAACACAATTTCAGGTACTGTCTAGCTTAGACAATTCTAAGAGTAGTGAAAGTTTTCTATTAGACCATCATAAGATAAAAGCTTAAACAGGTAGGAGAGGGCACTTCAGCCACCGAGAAATTTTCTTGCTGGTTACTATTGACATTCTCTTACACGTTAGGTATGATTTACGGAAAAGAAGATTTTGTTACGTGTTCAATCCTCCCATCTTTTCTGAAATATACAAGAATTATTTTGAGGCAGCTAGGAGATCCTCCAGCAAAACTAAAGAAAAATCAGACTTCATAATCTGAATATTTCCAAAGGAAACCACTGCAGGTTCTTTCTGCATTACTGTCTTGTTCAAATGGAAGCTTGTATTTCTCAACTTGCAGGATCAATGTAGATTTCACCTCCACTACTGTTTCATTGCCCTGAAGTCTTCAAATTTAGACTTTGAAAGCATTCTAGTTATTTAAGTACTCTCAGCACATCATGCCCATACTTACTACCTATTTACATACACAAAATCAGTGGACAATGAACCTTCTTAAATAACCTCTGTAAGACCTTCTGGGATTATGTTATGCTTTCTACCAGAAACTGGGACTACATGAAGCTTAGTCCTCAAATCTCCACAGACAATGACTAGAAAGAAAAGGTACTAGTGAATTTCTGTCTGTCTCCACATTTTCTTTGTTGAATTTTGGGATTTTCATACCACTGTAAACTATCACAAAAAACTCAAGTCAGTGCTACTGTTAGTGCGATTTTCTGTTGTCTATTCTGAGAGACTATAAAAAGTCTAAACCTAAGTTTATGGACTTGTTTCAGCAAGTGACAGGGTAGACCATTAAAATGGTTTATGGGTCTATGTCAGGTGTTTATGTGCATCCAGCAGATGCAACCTTAGATTAGGTTAAACTATTTTTAAACTATTTCCAAGGTCCTGGATTTTCTCAAGCCAATGTTCACCTATCCAGATACATAATATATATATACACACACACACACACACTGAAAAGGAGTTTATGTGCAAGCAGGAGGAAAAGAGCTTAAATATTTTGAATATGAAACCCACAGCTATTTCTATATCCATAAAACAACATATTAAGCCTATTTATATCTCTTAATTATTTCCTAATTGAAAGATGTGAAAAATATGTTGATCACGGAAACATTAATCTCGCATGCAACTTTGGAACCCAAGCCAAACTGCGATGGAACCATAACTTGCCCACTAAGGACAGAGCTAAGGAAATAGGCAGTCCACTGCTTTCATCCTCTTTTGCAGAAGTAGAGTAGTTGGAGCCAGTTAAGAACTACTCGGTAGTTACATAAAAATCCAACATTTGCCCTCTCTGAGAAAGAGAGAAGAAAAGCTGAAATTTTGCCTGGCCCTGGCAGATCCCACTCTGAAGGCTAAAATCCAAAGAGAAGAAAGAAGGCCTGGACAGAACGAAGGTGGCTTGCTCTTCTACTCTGAATTATCTCCATATACTCTAGCTTCTTGCTGGCAGCGGACGGAGCCAGACTGGCTCTCCCAGGCAACACCATAGGAAGCCATTTGGCTTTTGCAGGCAACTTTTCAAATGCCAATGCCTAGAGCCAGGCCTGATAGGCACAGTGATCCAGCTCTTAATGTTGCCATCAGAAGCTTTCCTACTACAATTACAACGTTAAGACTCCCGTGTCCTTTTCTGTAATAGCTATTTCCACAGAAGGAAGGAAATGTACCTGAAGACACTTTTCTGGAAGAGTGAAGGCAGTAATATACCACTTGTTCACAAGGATAACTTACAGACACGTTGAGAGTATTAGTACAGATCATCCATTGTTTTCCTTATTTCTTCTCTTTGCTGAACTTCCTTACAAGAGTGAGATTATGGCAGAATGCAACGGAAAACTGCACCCAGTTTACCCGCAGGCAGGCTAAGTTACTACATGTCTCAAACACAATATGGATTGCGGGAAATTAGGGAAATGCAGTAAAGGAAATTGTAAAGAAGTGGTAAGAACTTCCATTAAGGACTCTGAAATGCAGGGGAATTTAACCCCTTTCAGCTGTCACTTCGCATGAGGCAAAGTAAGCATGCATAACTTTAAAAGCAAAATCAACATAGTTCTCAGCAGTAGGAACTGTGTTTTGCTGCATAACAAGTGTTTAATGACTGCATTATCCAGGTCTTTGTTACTTTGGCTATAACCAAAGACACAGCATTTTAAAAAAGAAAAAGCTTTGACTTTAATAATTAGGGTATTAATACGGATCTGGAAAACTGTATACAACTAGTCATTAATGTTTAAATATTTACCTTTAAATATATATATAATTAAATTACACCCAAGAGATAATTTCAAACTAATCTTATATATGAAAGACTCATCCACTGTGATCTTCTAAGAATGACAAGGGAAGTATCCAAAGGTCAGGACATTAATTTCTGACGTGGAAGACAGGTTTATTTCTGTTAGAGATTTGAAACTCTTGTCTCCCTCATTCAAATTACAGTTCTTAACAGCAAAGTGTTCTGTGGTACTTCAACTCTGCTGGAGTTCTGCCACTTGGTCATTATTCATTGCAGCAGCAACTTCACTGTTGCTGTTCCTGTATCTCAAGCAAGCACCCTCAACACTAGGCTATACATACAATGTCCATCATAACGTAAACCACACCTGCCAGGTAGAATGTTTAAGTGTTACTACAGAAAGAAATAGCTTCATTGATTGTGGAAGACTAAACACACCTGAAGGCTACAAGCCAATTAGCAATTTAGCTAGCAAAATGACTGCTTTCAATCTCAGACAAAATGGGTGTAGAAATGCCTTCCTTTAGGAGACAGTTTGTAGAAAGTTCATGCAAAGATGGACAAATTGCACTGGCAAAAAAAAAGCAACTACAGTTCAGCTCTAAATAAAAAAAATCTAGGCTATAATAACCAGGAAAATATTACTTAAGATTCTGCCCACAGATTAAATTCTTCAAGCAATTTCATCAAATATTTATGATCAGTGCATCAATGCAGAAAAGACGATCCAATTTCCAACCAATCAGAAGACATCAGATATGCAACAAGCAGTTTTGCTTGAACAGAGCTAAAAAGTGGTTAGCTACCTGAGTTCTTAAACATAAGCAAGCATTTAAACAGAATTATTAGATCCCTATTTTCTCCCTTATTGGTCTTCTGATCCATGAGAAACAGGTATGATGGGTAACCAGAAGCCTGGTTATATTTCCTGACAATTTGGACTGATTTACAGTATTTTGACATCTCATATGTAATTGCTCTGCTAGACAGTCGTGGTCATATCAGATGAATATGCTGACAGTCAGGCATGCAAGACTTGTATCATTTTGCGAGAAATCTCTTTACATTCAGAAGATGCAAGACCACTGAAAGGCATTAGATAACCTGCACCTACACACTCTTTTAACACAGATCTTAATAGGCAATCAAATTTGTAACATTACAATTTTGTGTTTATTTATGAATGACATGGTAGTGATATAGCGCCTGTCAGAGGAATTCTTGAGAATCTATTGATTTAAGAGTTAGCTGCTCTAATTTTACCGGTGGTTTTCCCACCTACAAATCTGTAATAACTTTCACGCTGCCAGCACTGGCAAGGGAAGAATGACATTGCAAAACATCACTAGATTTTTGGGTAAGCTCCATGATACATTTCCACACTATAAACATTTAATGAGATTTGTTCCCAACAGACTATTTACTATATCAATCTATTTCATGGCACTGTATTTGCAACAAGAAGATAGAGTAAAGGTTATTTCAGGTCCTTAGCCAATAGAACTTTCTGTAAAGAAAGAAAAGTGCGACCATCTAATTCATAAAATCATTTTAAGAAGTTAAATGCTCTATAAATTGTGCTTTATCTAACTCACACAGATTCAATTCTGGTTTGTGTTACATAGGTAAAAATATATTTTAAAGTCCATAAACAAATGGCTTTTTACAACAGTCAGACTTCTGTGTTCTTATGATTCCGAACAAATTCAAGAGAATTTTTTCCATTTTGTGATTAACACAATCCTTACATTTTAAACCAGTAACAAATTTAATTCCATTTTTAAAAAAATTAAAATGGTACTGCTCACATAAATAAGATTAGAAACTGCAATTTTAAAACCCAGTGTGAGAAGCAAGGAAGGATGACATGTAAGATACAATTGCAGCCTGTTCCTCGGGGTGAGGGGGGGTGGAGGAACTGTTAGTTTCAGCTTTGAGCATGACAGCAAGGTCTGTTTTGATCAATAAACTGCCACTACAAGATTTGTGTCATATATGGATTTCAACATATTTCTCTAACCTCTCATTGAAAATGTTAGACAAAATCTATCACCATCAGTCATAACATCAATTCTCCTGAAAATGTATCAACAATATTGGAGTTCCGAGGCTGAGATCTGGTAAGTCTGAGAATTTACAACCAGAAAGACCCACATTGCAAATGTGTTTGGAAACTTTCATTCCTTTTGTTGATCTGGGCCTACATCAGTTACACCAGATGAGGAACACTGTCTGCAATCTCATCTACAGGAGGTCTTTTACCATTTTTGGCAGGACAATGGAAAATAACACTGGAAAGAGCCAGAGCAGCCATGAGAAAAAGGGAAAGCTCCATACAAAAGCTTAGGATGAGTTCAGGAGCAGAGAAAGAACTGACTTTCTCAAGTACTTGGTTAAATAATAGAAGTAGAGCTACAATTTGTGAAAGCATATCAGTTATGTCACTATTTAATGATAAGCAGAAGACATAATTAGGTTTCTAAATCCTTCAATTATATAAATCACATAATGATCCCAATGATGAGTTCTGGAGTAAAGGACTTCAATTTGCGTTGTACTAGTTCAAATGCAGTCAAAGGAGCAGTGCTGACCATCATCTGATAAACACTGTTATTTATAACCTAAACCCATGGGTTCTGCACACTTATTCAAAGATGTGGTCTGCCTCCACCATTAGTGACACACTTGGAACTAATTCTTGCTTGCTGTTCGGAGGAAATCAAATATTGAACATACATGAAGACTTAATCCCAAACTCTTCTGAAGGAAGTGATAGCTCCCAATGAAACAATTTAGAGTGATACTATTCAGACTAGAACTAAGCAGAGCATTAATTTCTAATGCTTTAGGTCCATCACTGATGATAGCAATAATTAATTAAAAAAAAAAAAAAGAAATAAACCATTTTTCCAAAAATGTTGCAGTCTTACAGGTTTATGGGTTTACGCACCTCAAGCTCATCAAGTGCACTTCCAAGAGTAGCTGTGTGAGATGTAGGTTGTCCCATTTTATTTCCAACTCCTTGGGAAGCATTAGAAATGACATTGAGAGCATTCTGTATTTCATTGCAAACTGAATCCTTGCTGGCTGTAAGGGATGCAACATCCGAATGTTCCAAACAAGCTGAACATATTGAATGTAGGAGAGAGGAATTTTCCTTCAGGGATGCACGTGCTGCAGCAATTTCATCTCGCTGATTGCTAGATTTCAAATCCTGTCAGCAAAAGAACATGCTGTTTATTTCCAAAAGCACTTCAAAACTGACAAGTAATGTATAAACATTTTTTTTTCTCTCTCTACTCTGTTTAAGGAAACATCGAGTTAAATTCATCAAAGATTGTGAAAATGGACTACAACAGTACTTACAATTGAATTATCTTTATCTCACAAGAAATGAACAAAGGCTGTGTAAAACAACCCATTTTTTTATTGTGCCTTATAACCAGCACCATGAACTGTCCACATATGGCAAGTTTTTAAGCACATAAGAAAACCAGCTTGGAAATTGGCTGTCTTTTCTCCCAGACATGTCTTTCTTCATAAACAATAGAGAAGGACACTGGTGCAGACCGGGTTAAGCAAGGAATTCTGTAATTGTTTCATCTAAACAAATTTCCTGTGTTTGCTTCCCTGCCCCACCAGTATATGACCCAAGCACAGTGCAGAAAGGAACAGTAGGTCAGGGATGAGAATCCTGTACTCCCGGGAAAAGGGAAGCATAGAAGGTGTGGAAATGAAACAGGTAAGAAAATGAAAAAGAGAAGGCATCTTTGTGAAGTGCCACTGCCTGTTTCTCTTCTCTCCCTGCTATGCACACACTTGAAGCACTCAGGAATCCTCCCCCGCTCATCTTCTTCCTCTCTTCTCCACCCAGATCTTCTTGAAACCCCACTGCCTCCTGCCAGCCCAGACAACAAGGAACACCCAGCTCAACAAAGCTGCCAAGTCAGATTTAACTGTTTCTAGGAATCAAGCTTGGGAGCTGCTATTTGGACAGGTGAAAGTTATAGACTTTGGGACAACCATGCAGTCAACATCAGGATCGTAAGCAGCCTCCTGTCTCATCCTATTTTACCCTCCTTCTGCATCTTGTCCCATTGAAGAAACACTAGTAGATATTTGCAAAATGGCTTGGGTGAAGGAGACAGTTAAATTCAGGGGGAAAATAAGAAAGGAAGGGAAAATAGCACACCAGAACAATAAAAGCCTGTGGCACCAGCTTCAAATGATGAGAAGAGGCACAATGAAGAATGAACAACAAAATGCATACAAAACTGCTCGCAGCCTGCTTTAAAGCAAGCCAAAGTCTTTCTAATTATTTTCCTTTGCATTGCACCAGGCTCTATATGCATTATTTACAAAAGCATCACAGTACCCACTTCTCACTTCCTAAAGTTTGAAGTTTATGGTTGAAGAAAAAAGCATTTGATATTAAATGAACCAGTCCTATGCTTTTAAAATCTCATTTACTGCAAGATATGCATTGGACATAGGACTGCATCTTACACCCTCAGGCTAACTTGGAAATATCAGGGCTACAGTGAAAAACAAACAAAACAAAACAACAACAAAAAAACCCACCACAGATAGAGAGAAGTGGACCCTTAAACAGAAGCAGACAGTGGTTTAACCAGCCGATCATCTGAATTAGAAAACCGAGTTCTTTTCTTGGACATATTAATACTTAACATATTTTTACATTTTCAATAAACTAATATATCAATGAATCACCACCGTGCAGGAATGACTTCATTGCCCAGTGTGCTCAAATCCAAATACTAGTCCTCCTCCAACCTTGGTAAAGCATCTGCAATTTATCTAGTGCACTCTCAGCAAAAGGTGTTACTTATTTTTAAACAGAGATTCTTGTTTTAACTAGTGAATATAACCTTTCCTACAATTAAACTACAAGGCAACAGAATGCCCTCTATTCTCCCATGCTGCATAGAAGCTACAGACCAAGAGATACAATGCTAAGTCAATACAACACCTCAGTCTTGCTGCCTTCTATTCTTAACCATTTCTTACTTTGCTGCACCACATGCAAACAATCAAACTCAAAAGTCCTTCCAAATGGCTTTTTCCCTCTGAAATAGTACTGTCTAAGCAGGAACTAGGGGTTTGTAAGAAATCCAAAACTGGCAAACCAGTAGCACAAAGCCAGTAATGGCAAGTCAACACGGCATCCAGAAACAGTCTAAAAAATTCAATGTGTTAATGTTCCTAAAACAGAATGTTTCGTTTCTCACAACACTGTGTAGAGTTTCAGAATCATAGTACTGGTAAACTCACCAATGAAGAGCCTCACTTTTGTTCAATAACACCTTAAAACAAAATAATGCTTAGACCCATGAAATTTATCACCTTTGTTCTTCGGTTGGGAGCCTTGGAGAGCCCCAAAAGAAGCTGTAGGGCCATTGTTCTCTTCCACCTTGATGAAGAATTAATTCCTCAAGATTTTTCATGTGAACAGGAAGAGACAGTCGATAATCTTAGTCTGATATTCTGAACAAATGGCCCAAAAACCCTACAACTGAGTGACTTCTCTTTTCAAATCTTTGCATATGTGGATTATCAGAATAATGTAACTAATTCTCTGAAGAAGGAAGTTAGTCTCTACAAACAGATTGTTAACCCATAGTCTCTAAAGTTTTTCCACCAGAGACAAAAAATACAGAAACTATCAAGTTCCTTTTTTACTTGTCAAGGAGAATATAGCACTAGGAAACACAAGAAAGCAACACTGAGAAAGTATACAGTTACTTTTAAGTTATCCTTTGATAGAACACATCACTTGAGAACTATAAGTACAGCATTAACGTTCTTCTCATTCTTAACAAACCACCACAGTTCTAAACAAGTTGATAGGCACTGTGCTAAATTCGAAATACCTGCACACTTAGACAAGCTTGTAAACTAAGTCCATAGACTTTAAGGTCTGAATCATACAGGGAAAAGTATGTACGTATAGGACTGAAATATCTGTAAAACATGGCACCAGAAAAAGAGGAACAAGAGAACACATACGACCACCATATTTTCTCTTACTCAGAGACTGTTCTAAGTACAGATGGATCAACTTACACCTGCACAGAGGCATAAGACAAATAGGACTACAGAGAAGAAATTTTCGGAATCAGTTCTTCATAACAAACCACTACTCTCTTCATACCATAATATCTGAGCATCTGTAGTTCATCCAGCTACATTACCAAGTTTTAGTCTATTTTTGGTTTTCTTCGCAGCTTACCACTTTCCTCTTATTCCAACATCTTTTTAGACTAATGGACTATTTCCACTGGGCTGGGACGTGTTCTTCCATACTAAGTCAGCAGCTGAGCTCTAGATATGTCATATGAGACCAGCTGAGATCAAAGATAATCTTGTCTCCAAGCACTGCCAATCTAAGAGACCCAGTATAGTGATATTTCCCCAGACTGCTGTCCCAGCCCCCCTGGGACATACCATTATGCCCTCCTCATACCTGGTTGTCCCTGATAATAACAGAAAATGAAAGGATAACCACAGACTTCCAGCTGTGGATTGTTCCAGCCAAACATGGTGAATGGACAAGATAACTTTGAATGGAAAACTTGAAAACTACCTTCACAGTTAAGTTTTGGTTGTACTACTTCAATAAGAAGAAAAAAAAAATAAAAAAAAGAAAAAAGATCTGTTCTTTATCACACTTAATAAAGTTAAGGTTTGACAGCACAATACACCAGGAAGCCAGCTCTTGTTCACTGAGTATTCATATCAGCACAACTCATGGGATTCAGGCACCATTGTGGGTATAAATCACACTGCCATATTTTGCACCAGCTGCAGTCAACATGAGGTTCACAAAGACAGCTTCAAATAAAGTGTGCTGCAGTCCCCCAGCTCACTCTTTGCAGAGACAGATGTCATTGAACTGAGTTATATATCTAAGAAAAACACAGACATACAAACCCCCACAATTTCATGGGGGACAAGAGCATTGCTTTTTATCACAGCTTATACTTGCGTTTTAGTGTTCAGCTTTCAGTCAAAAATGACTGCCAAATTGCATCTATTTGGTGAATCAAAGACAATAACAAAGCTCAAACTCTTCTGAGTGCGTTCATGCACTGTTTATCTAGGTAAGACTCCAGTTTACGTATTTCATAAGTACTGTGTAGTCTTATTCAGTGGAACAAAATATCTCACAGACAAGAAAGTGAAAAAGATCTGGGGTTGATACTGACTGCCTGCTATGGTTTGAGGAACACAATTTATTGTTGTTTAGACAATTATTCTCTCACCTGATGACCCCTCACCACCCAGGAAGGGGAATCGGGGGGGGGGGGAACCCCAAGGAAACCTGAGGGTTGAAACATAAGCAGATTTAATACAATAAGACTACATAATTAACATTAATAATACTAAAGAACCCATATTGATCCTGATACCAATGTAAAATATACTTTGATTATACTCTGCCAATTCTATCAATAGGAGGCTGTGCACTCCCAGCAGTGGACAGCAAATGTCAGACACTGCAAGCACTGTGGCTTCAGAAGGAAGGGAAGGCCTCAGAGGTCCAGCACTGGGCCAAGAAGTTCTCTGGTTTGCAGCCATCCAGAGAGAGAACTCCTCATCAAACTTTCTCATTTATATTGAATGTGATGTTGATGGCATGAAGAAGCCCTGTTGGCCAGCTTGGGCCAAGTGCCCAGGTCTCACTCCTCAACCCCACACCTGGCTAACCAGAAAATACTGACACCTTGAAACCCACACACCATAGCTGGCTATAAAGTAAATATTTTCACAAATTCAGACACTATAGTCTTCTATAAGTACGGTTTTCCCAAGCATTAGGGAAGATTTTACTGGAAAGTAAAATTACTGAAAGAGAAATTAGCTCCATGTCACTCTAACCAGGACAACTGCCATATTGCTCTTTTGCTGTATCAGCTCTTCCAAGACAACAGCAGTCTCACACAGGTTTTAGTCCTGTGTCACTCAAACCAGGACACTGCCATATTGCTCTTTTGCTGTGTCAGCTCTTCCAAGACAATTGTACTCTCACACAGGTTTTAAAGGCTTATACCTGTCTCAGGGCCCAGCGAGCACTGCTAGGCCTCAAAGGCCCTGCCCAGGCCCAGCTGGGGCCTCCATCCACCCTCACCCTTGGGCCCCAGAGTCCCAGTTCAGCTCACTCTGGGACCTTTGGTCCCTGTCTAAGATATGTCG